TCTGCACTGTCTGTTACAGAAGCTACCAGACACATGTGGCTGGCTAGTTAGTGCCTTAGTGAGACTGAGGACCTGGACTTTTATTTTTGTATTTTAATTAATTTATATTTGAATAGCTAGATATGGCTAGTGGCTATAGTATTGGATAGTGAAACTCTAAAATCTAATAATTAAATCAGTTATGAAAAAAATAAAGTTTGCTTTATTTATGTTAAAGACAAGAAAAATGACATACAGATTAACCCTAGAGAGTGACCCTGTAACATAAAGAGAAAAATGTATGGGCCATATAAGTCAGTAGCTTTTTGTAGGAATGGTGCAATCACAACAACTCTTGCTGCACCAGAGTGGAATAATGAGACTGTCTTGAGGGTAGAGGTCTAACGGAGATTCTGAAGATGGGTAATAGACACCTATTCTAGTTGAGTTTTTTTTTTTTAACTTATTAGTTTTCAGAACTATATAAGAAATGTGGAAATTAGAAAACAAATCCAAACCGTGTCCCTTTGACTTGCTACAATTAGCAGATCTTGAGGAACTGGATCTTCACAGTGATGTTGTTTTATTTGTCATCTCCCCTCTGGTCCCTGTTAGCTGCCTTGGGGTCCTGTAGCTTGTTTTGTGTTTCACACCTTTGGTCACTAGTTGTGTAGATAGCCCACAATTTTTTGGATTCACATTTTGTTGTTCTGATTATTCAATGCCATCTAAAAAACGTTTTTAATCCTTTTCACTTTTTTGTACATTTTCTAGCTAGCACATCTAACATATTTAAAGGAGAAAGAAGAGTATACTTTTGGGGAGAAATAAAGACACTTCACAACTATTAAGCACTTCTATGCACCAAGAACTTCTTCTGCCACCAGCTCTACAAGGCAGGTGTTAGTATTTCCTCATTTCAGATGTGGAAAGCTCAGAGATGTTAAACAGCCAGCCCACACTCTTGCAGGCAGGCCGTGACACAGCCGTGAGATGAACCTAAATTTCTCTGACACCCTCTCAACTAATCTTTTTCCTCCTAGATCACACTGCTTCCTAAGCCCACTTTACAATGTAACTTTTAGAAATAAATTCCACAGTAAAAATGAAGGTTACCCTGAACTTTCCTCTCTTAGTTTCTTCCAGATTTGTCCATCCATCCTCTCTCTACCTTATTTAGAAGGAAGGGTAGAAAGAGGGAGGAAGGAAGGAATGGAGAGAAAGGAAACAAGTGAAGGTATTTATGAAATGGTTCTGGAATATTTAAAAGGATCTAAGGCTATTGTATTAAGAGGGTTTGTTGGCTGGGTGCGGTGGCTCACGCCTGTAATCCTAGCACTCTGGGAGGCCGAGGTGGGTGGATCGCTCAAAAAAAACAAAAAAACAAGAGAGAGGGTTTGTTGCCTTTCCCTTTGTATTTTTTGAGACAGAGTCTCACTCTCTTGCCCAGGCTAGAGTGCCCTGGCGTCAGCCTAGCTCACAGCAACCTCAAACTCCTGGGCTCAAGCGATTCTGCTGCCTCAGCCTTCCGAGTAGCTGGGACTATAGGCATGCGTCACCGTGCCCGGCTAATTTTTTCTATATATATATTTTTTTAGTTATCCAGATACTTTCTTTCTATTTTCAGTAGAGACGGGGTCTCACTCTTGCTCAGGCTGGTCTTGAACTCCTGACCTTGAGCGATCCACCTGCATCAGTGTTGCCTTTTACTTTTTAAACATCATTTTTTTTTAAAGTTGCCAAAGCTTTAAATCATAAAAAGTTACTCAAACTGCAGTTTAAAACTGCATGCAAATGATTTGTTGAAAGTATTAAAAAAGGAAAAGTTCTAAATGCCACCGAAAATACTTGTTACATTTAGGAAAACAACAACAACAACAAAAATCCCCAAATTAAAAGAAAATAAAAATCCCTCAGCTTAGAACTCATGGAGTCAATGCTATCTATCACCTTTCTAAAAAAACCAACTAACCACACATATCATACCCCATGGAGTCAAGTACATAGTCACTTAAGCACTTAAGGAAAACTGGCTAACATTTTATGAGTATCACATACTTTTGAATGTAGAGCAATAGGTAGGAAGAAAGCTATCTTTCTAATAGGGCATCCATAATCTAGCATTTTTGCACACTAAGTAACCATAATTTTTTAGAAAGTCTTAAATTTTGTGTCTGAAAGTAGATGACTTAAAAAATAAGGGAGACAGTAGCAGCCTTTCAGTATTTTATAACAGTTTAGTGATTAAGAGCATTATAGTCTAGTGGCTAACACCACCTGGGTTCCAATCTTGGTTCAACTCTTATTGGTTTTGTGACTTTGGGCAAGGCACTGTGCCTCAGTTTCCTCATTTCCTTTATGGAAATTTTTATTTCCATAAAAATGGGGCTAATAATTGCTAAGGTGGTTGTGAGGATTAAATGAGCTATTAATAACATATATAAAGCACTTAGGATATTCATGGAGGCAATGCTTTATTTTCCCACCAATCTTTGTAACAGAGAAGACAATGAGATAAAATAATTAACTCTAATGTTGGCTAATGGGAATTTTTAAAGAAGAGATACTGTAAGACACTATACAATTAATAAAAACTATTATATATTTTACAGAGGACATAATAAAAGAAATTTTGGTGTAGTAAGAATGTCTAGATTGTAGTTACTGATATATTATGCTATCTGAAGGAATATAGTAAGTAAACTAAATTTTTCAACTTCTAATATACCTCATAAAATATAAAAGAATGGAAATATAAAAGTCCAATAAGCTGTTTGACTGCAAAATCTATTTCAACTGGAAAATGGTATCCAAGATAGTTGCTTGGGTAAAGTAAAGCATGCTTCCCCTACTCCCAAATCACATAGAGCTTCTGGAACTTTTTTTTTTTTTGAGACAGAGTCTCACTCTGTTGCCCAGGCTAGAGTGTCATGGCATCAGCCTAGCTCACAGCAACCTCAAACTCCTGGGCTCAAGCGATCCTCCTGCCTCAGCCTCCCGAGTAGCTGGGACTACAGGCACGTGCCACCATGCCCAGCTAATTTTTTGTATATATTTTAAGTTGTTCAGCTAATTCCTTTCTATTTTTAGTAGAGACAGGGTCTTGCTTTTGCTCAGGCTGGTCTTGAACTTCTGACCTTGAGTGATCCTCCCGCCTCGGCCTCCCAGAGTGCTAGGATTACAGGAGTGAGCCACCGTGCCTGGCCAAGCTTCTGGAACTTTAAATGGAAGTTTTTTTCCTTACAGAATATATTTTCAATTGCATGTGGGTTGTTAATGATTGAGTTTTCTGAAAGGAGACACTAAAGTATCTCTCCTACAGTGCTAACTCAACCTTTTGGCCCTCTTAAGGACGTCTTTTATTCCCAAGTACACTAGCTAATCTTACCATGATTTTTCTTTACAATAACCTGATGGAGGAAAAAGACAAAGAAGAAAGGAGTTGAGATACGAGGTAGAAGAATGTTTCAATGACATACACCACTGGTTTCCAAACAGTGGAAAGGATTGGTCAGTAGTTCAGAAGAATCTTGCTCGTGCTCTGCATGTAGTAGTCCATGCAACTCACCTCCTTCCTGACTTCATAGGAAAAGAGCACTGAGAAATCCTTAACCTGCCCCAGGCTTTACTTTTCAGAAGGAAGGAAACTGTAACACTCAAGGGAACAAGACAGATCAAAAGTCACTGAGCATTCACGGAAGAAGAGTGAAGATAATAAGAGAACTGGAGAATCTTTGCACCGGCAGGTAATTTAGCTCCACTCTCACTGCAGTGCAGCATTCTCCTTCACAGCATCTCTGAGATGTGGCCGGTCACCCTCTAACTAGACACCTTCAAAGACAGGGATCTTACTTTCTCAAGTCTGCTTCACCCAAGTCAGAAATCTGGGATACATCATAGATTCTTTACATCACCCAACCTTGTGTACTCTGCCTTTTAAATATTTACTGAATCTGTCCACTGTCTTGCCTTCCACTATCTTAGTTGAGGCCTCCCCTTCTCATCCCTTTATGTGGTCCTGCAATAGTATTCCATCTAACAGATTTCTTGCCACCAAATAATCCATCCTCACACGGCAGCCTGCAGAATGGATGTTCTAAAACACGAATCTAATCATGTTACTCCTCTGCTTAAAACCATTTGATGGTTCACTATCACAAACAGCCAAAAGTCTAAGGTATTAGCCTGATATACATGATACTGGCTAACTCTCCACTTCACAGTTTGGCAACACTAAAGGCTTATAGTGGCCACATGCACCAAGCTGTTTCACATCTCCATGGTTTTGCTCATGTTGTTGCCTCTGATTTGAATAGTCTTTCTTCCCTCTGTCAAGCAGATAATTCAGTTCAGGAATTATCTCCAGGAATACATCTTTTGACACCCTCCCCTGTGTAACATAAAAAATATTCCCTGCATTTTTCTATCACTGCATTTATCATATTACACTGAAATCATTAACCACTTCATCTTTTTGCCTCCAGGTAAGTCCTTCAAGGGACAATGTCAGCACCCTTAGCACATGGCAAGGGCTCATGGTAGCAGGTGTTTAATACACGCCTAGTAAATACCAGAACTTTTTTCTTAGGTGAGTTAAAATTTATAACTCCAAGTTGAACACAGTGGTTCATGCCTGTAATCCTAGCACTTTGGAAAGCCAAGGGGGGAGGATCGCTTGAGCCCAGGAGTCTGAGACCAGCCCAAGCAACATTCTCCACAAAAGAATTTAAAAATTAGCTGTGTGTGGGGGTGCATGCCTGTAGTCCCAACTACTTGGGAGGCTGAGGCAGGAAGCTCACATGAGTCTAGGAGTTTCAGGTTGTAGTGAGCTATGATGAGGCCACTGTACTGTAGCCCCAGCAACAGAGCAAGACTCAGTCTTTAAAAAAAATACGTAAAACTCCAATGGCTAAACTTTGGCTTCATGGAGCAATAAAATCCATCTCTCCAGGAAAATAGAACATTTGGCTAGTACATAAAAAGGCAAGTTTAAATACTATTTATTTGACATTTGCACTTACCTAAATTGCTGTATGTTGCACTACAGGGGTTTAGGTCCAGAGGATCTGAAATGTCGTCTTTTTCCTCTTCCCTTTTCAGCTCAGGTAGGGGCAATGCTGGTGTGGCGGAAGGGCAGCCCCCGCCATCTTGCTTCACAACACTTTTTGGATCCCGAGGAGAAAAATCCTCTGTCACTTCATGGGTCATGTGACTGAAACAAATCAGACCACTTGTCACACTGGCATTCAAACGTTCTGCTAAAATTTAGATTTATGGAAGGCATATACTTCCCATAGATGTAAATAGCTGGTCCTATAGGCACAGCAATGGGTCATAAGCCCCAACATACTTGTCTAAACACAAGACAGTACTTCCTCTAGGTTCATACTTTTATTTACCTTGACTCATACATATTGGGAATCCAATTTGGTAAAGGAGGTATGGTAGGCTGACAGGAAGCGTGAGAATAACAGGCAAGAAGCGGAACAATTTTTTTAGGTAGTGATGGTGGTGGCAGAGGGAGCTGAATGCTTAACTGATTAAAGACAAATACACTCAAGTACTTAGTAAAGTATTTAGCATATTTACTATACTATATTATAGTATTCTAATACTATAGTAAATACCAAATACTTTACTATATAGTATTTACTTAGTATGTAGTATTCAGTATATACTATAATATTCACTCAAGTATTTAGTAAAGTATTTAGCATATTTACTATACTATATTATAGTACTTTAATATTATAGTAAATACCAAATACTTTACTATATAGTATTTACTTAGTATGTAGTATTCAGTATACACTACAATATTCACTCAAGTACTTAGTAAAGGATCTGAAATGAAGTTTGAGATTAGACTATCTAAACAAGGAAATTAAACAACTATTTGAATAGGTAAACTGAGGCCTGGAAGGTCCTATTGCCAGGAGAACAGAAGCATCAACCTTTACCTGTGTGCATGCAGCAGAGAAGGCAAATGGAAAAGAAAGTTCTACTTTCTAGTTAATCTCCTGTATTAAAATGAGTCTGAAGCACCCTACTGGCCACATACTAGTGTATGATCAATCTTGTTTTACTGTCGCCTGCTTATTTGCTTATAACTATCTCTGCCCATCTTCTATACTCCCCAACCTACCTGAACTGTGCCATTCTGTTGCTATAAAGCACAAAGGAATAGAACACTTATTAAATGCTGGTGGAGAAAACTGGCCTAGTTAGAAAATCTCAGTGGGCTGGTTAATGAAATAAAGTGAAAATCGGCATCTTTAAAGATTTCTAGGTTTACTGAAAAGTGTTCCTAGACTATCACACAACTCTTCAGTTCTTCTTCCTGGTTTCGTTACAAAAAAAAGAAAGAAGGAAAGGAAACATATACAAGTACTTGTTACTTCTGGATTTCAAATTGACAGTGAGTCATGGTGACATTTACAAGTTTCTTTAAAAGAGGTACTTTGTTTGATCGTGTGTCATCAGAATATATATTACCTGTGGACTTAAGAGAGCAGATCTAAAGAAGGAGTACCTTCTTATCAATCTTTCATTATGGAAATTGTGCCTGTGCTTGGACAGAAAAATAAGCCTTGATGTATGCTGGACATACAACTTCAAAAATATTCTTTGAAAGCTGTCAGAGTCAGAGGTCTTTCTATACTAGGAGTGAGCAATGAGCTGCAAGTTCTGTTAGGGGATCTGGCTCTTGGGGACAGTGGTGAGGTGAGACAGAATCACTCTGTTAGCAGTCAAGAGGGTAGTCTATGTAAAGGAGGCCTCCTACAGTAAAGCATGCTGCTCTTCTCGATGGGCTGCCCTTGGTCATCAACTTAAAAGAGGGACTCCATATGAAGTTGGTTTCTCAGAATAAGCAGCATCATAAAACCAAGGTTGCAAGAGGGCTCTACTTCCATGCATTAGCAAAGACAAAGCAAAGTGACACTTCCAAGACACTGTCAGGTACCACTTAATGTCCGTTACAGATTGTATTATCACTGAGTAGCTATCAACAAGATTTAGGAGAGGGAAAATGTTCTTTTCTGGAAAAAAGTTAATATAAACCATTTGTAGTTTCAAAGCAATAAATATAAAGTGATTTTAAATATCATTCCCCCTTGAGAGAAAAAAATGTTAAAGCTCCAGACATTTCTTATTCTAAAGTCAGCTTCAGAGATGTTCTAAAAAACTGTTTCTGGGCTCCTCATCCCATTACTCATGCCTTTTCCTTTCTTTCCCCGATCTCTGGTTATTACTAAAATAAAGCTCTCCTTCCTATTTGCCGAAAAGGGTGGTAAAGGTTCAGAAGTCATGACTTCACCCTCACTTGTCTGTTTTCCTACCAGGCAATAGACTATTTACAACAAAACTCAGCCACTGTGGAAACCACAGAAAGAGCTGCTGTTATTAACCTATGGGGAATTCTATGGGCCTGTCCCATATACATACACGTAACACAGCTCTGTGTGCTGAAGGGCTTTGCAAAACAAACATGGATGCCAAAAAGCAACAAATATTAAAGACTCACCCACTGTACTCACTAACACAATTCCCCATTAAAGGAAATTTTCACAGGACCTTCTTGAGTCTGTTAATTATGTTCTGAAACTCTGATAAACCACAGATGAGTTCTGGAGAGCTACAAGTTGGGCAAACCATGAGAAGAGCCTTGAATTATGCACCTTAATATCACCCACTGCATCTTGACCTTTACCTTAGGGGTTTGGTCTGGGAAATGTGCCAGATTACCTTTGGAGAGCTAGGCAAAGTGAAAGCTAGTTTTATTAACTCCTTGAGGACCGAGGAAGTGCAGCCTATATTCCAGATAAAGATCCGTTTGCATAAGTACATTTTAATAAGTACGGGTACATTAAATCACCAATTAAAATAATTGTCAACTATAAAGAACTATGCAAATAGAGTTGATAAAAGTAAAATCACTTGTGTTTGCAAATGGATGCTAAAATATTTAATCTGCATTTACAGTGGCAGCAGTCTCTAAAAGGAGTAAGAATTTTAAAAATGCATTAATGATATGTCATATTTTAATGCTTAAGGGAAGAACAGCTCTTTGTATGACTAAAATGGCAAGAGAGAGGGGGAAAAGAGAGAGGTTCTGAGAGCTCACGCTTAGATATGGTAACATGCTAGGACTAAAGAATAAAGAATTGGAAAAGCATCAGGAAGGCTGACTCGGTCACTGTGTACAAACAACACAGGCAAATCATTCAGGAAGAAAGGAGAAAGGAAAAGCCTAGGCATTAGACACATTAATTTAATAAGGGAATTTAATTTTTGACCATTGACTTATTTCACATTTGGACATAAAATCAGAAAAGGCTCCCAAACACTAAAATGACATTTTACAAATACAGGTTTTATCTCCTAACAAAGAGTTTCACTACCATTTCACTGGGAAATGTTTAATGCAACGGAGAAAACACTAAAATGGGAATCAGAACCTGGGTTCTGTTTCCCTATGTTACTTTGATATTCTGAACACACTTGATGATAGCATCAGGAAGAAGTTAAGGGAGAAAATGAAGGTTTAAATTTCCTCCATTTCATCCATGAGACAGATGGTAAGAAATTATTTAAAATGAAAATTAAAATAAATATGTGAGAATTTCTTATATATATGTCAGCGCCTCTTGAAATCACAAACAATGACCATGGTTTTTAGGTATTTTTTTTTCAGGTTATTCAATGAATTTGATATTCATTAGTATAAAATAGAACTATGAAGCGATAGATGGCCCACACCAAAGATGAAGTTATAGCTTTTATATTTCTGATGCTATTTAAATTCATGTTGAAATAATCCCTAGACTTGTAATATGATGTGGAAAGTCTATAATAACTAAGGTGTGGATGTCTAGGTCCCTGATCTTCAGGATGGGTCAAACTCTAAGTTAGCGTACTCTTGTCCTCAACCCTCAGCATTCCCTCTGCTTTCATAATGGAAGGACAACACGTTTGTGCTTTAAACTTGTCAACCAACTTTTCATTAATGACCAGTTTTTAATTGAGATCTGGTCAGATTTATGGTCTGACCTGACATTTAAGAAACCATGCCATAACCTTCACAAAGACAACTCATTTTCTGAACATGCAGAATGAATGTAAAGTGTTCAGAGGAAACAGTAACATTGTTACAGATTTGTCTGTTATATAAATGAATCCCTTGGAAGGTTATATCTCATCAGTCTGCAATATTCATACATAATTCAAAGCTGCAGAAGCAAAATCTCTTATGGGAAGCTCACTTGGCTTGCCCAGGTGGTAGGATTAATCATTACACCATCAAATGAAATAATCTTTTTTATTTTTTTCCTGGAAAATTTGGTCAAGATTTTTATAAAAATTCTGTTAAATGTCTGAATGTACTTTTTAAAAAGGCAAATCAAATTCCACATTAAAACACATTAAAGGCCTTTATGTACCCAAGTATTTCCACAATTTCAGTTCAACTCTATCTTCAAATTCAACCACCTTCAATAGCACATGAAATCAGACTTCTGTGGAGACCATCTGCCTCTCGGGGCAAATGGCATTCTAATTTGCCAGCTCTCTTCGGCAGGCACATGTTTTTAGTTGCCTAAGACAGCCAATAAACAAACGTGTGATTTTTAACATCTCCTTTTACCCCTAAAGATCAGACCAAGGAATATTAGAAACAAAATTTCGTGGTGTGGCACTGTTTTACAGACCTGCATATTTCTGGGATTGGTTGGGATGATGGACCTCTGCAGAAATGGAATCTACGTCAACACATAAGGAGAGTTCACAGCTGTCAATTCTCACACCTTTGTAAGACATTGGAAGGGAGAAAAAATGAAGAACTCCATTTCTTTTTGTCTCTCTACTTCTAGGGAGACCTCCTACCAATGTGACATTTCTTAATCTTACCTTAGTTTCCAGGTCATCAACTTGATTTTGCTATACTTTCCAATCACTGACATTCTCAGGTAGAAAAGTGTTGTGTCCACTGATCACTATCTAGTGTCTCCAATTTTCCATTAAGCCTTATGTAGTCTTTAGCTGAAAACATCAAACTTCTTATCCTGAACTGAGATTAACCTTTAACTGAGATCTGATGAGTTCCTACTAATATGTCTAACAGTCTGGTCAAATAAAGGTAGTAGCTCTTACTGGTGTGAATGAAGTGGTGAGGTCTTGGGATGGAGAAGACTGGCAGCCATGTGCAAAGTCTTG